CCGGCCGCGGACCTCCCGGGGCTGGAGGCCGGCGCGGCCCCCGTCGCCCACAGCCATGGCCCTCAAGATGGTCAAGGGCAGCATCGACCGCATGTTCGACAAGAACCTGCAGGACCTGGTGCGCGGCATCCGCAACCACAAGGAGGACGAGGTGAGCCCCGTCACCCGCGGTCCCCGCCCCGGCCTCAGTTTACCCGCCGGACACTCGGGCCCGCCCCTCCCCCCGCCCCGGGGGAGGCCTGTCCACTCCCCCGTCCCGAGATGTCCACCTCCGGGTCGGCGCGGTGGCCTGGAGGGGGCCAGGCTGGGGCTCGGGGGGAGGAGGAGGAGGAGGAGGAGGAGGAGGAGGAGGGCCGCGCATCCTCCTGCGGAAATGGGAAGCTCGGGGGGCGGGGGTGTCCAGGAATGGGGAAGCGGAGACGGGAACCCGCGGCCGCCGGGCCTTCTCCAGGAGTGACAACGTGACTGGGCCGCGGCCCTGCCCTCCCCGCCCCCCGGTCTGTGACCTAGATTACGGGAGAAGTGGGGCGCGGGGTGACCGCCCGGCCGCGGAGCGCCTGCACCCCCAGTGCCCCGTGGACGCGGTGGATCGCCCGGGGGGGGCCCTCCAGTGTCCCCTGGACATGATGGATCTTGGCGGGTCCCCCCGACTGCCCCGTGGACATGATGGATCTTGGGGGGTCCCCCCGACTGCCCCGTGGACGCGGTGGATCGCCCGGGGGGTCCCCCCGACTGCCCCGTGGACATGATGGGTCTTGGGGGGGCCCGCTGAGCGCCCCGTGGACATGATCTCGGGGGGAGGGGCCCTGCCCCCCCAGTGCCCCGCGGACACGGTGGATCTTTCAGGGGGCCCCCGCCGAGTGTCCTGTGGACATGATGGATCTGGGGGGTCCCCCGACTGCCCCGTGGACATGATGGATCTCCCGGGGTGTCCCCCCAGTGCCCCGTGGACATGATGGATCTGGGGGGTCCCCCCAGTGCCCCGTGGACATGATGGATCTGGGGGGTCCCCCCAGTGCCCCGTGGACATGATGGATCTGAGGGTCCCCCAGTGCCCCGTGGATATGATGGATCTCGGGGGTCCCTGCTGAGTGTC